AGTTTTTCTTGGTAGCTTCCTTCCCTAAAAGCCATTAGTTGACAGAGAATGGTTGCCTAAACGTGAAGATGAGAGATCTTTATAGACAGACGGTTGTAATATGAGTTGACTTTGCAAAGAATGGCTGAAACCAAATGTAAACTGTCATGATACCATTTCTCACAGATGTTTTGTGTACTATAAATAATGATCACAGCTAGAGGCTCAAGATTTGAACACAGAGGAAGGTTTGGATGATCTATTAAAACTTACAGACAAATTTTCAATAAAAGATGATCTATTAAATGCACTTGAGGCATGGCCAGACTTTGAAAAATTTAGAAAGCGGGATGGATATTCTATAGTAGAATATATAATGAAATTTGGTAGACTGTATGCAAGATTGCATAAATTCTACTCAAGAAGCCTTAAAAAATTCCCAGGAAAGCATTCATTCGCAATGGCTTTCATGGTCCAAATGATACATTGAGCAGTAATGCAAAGAATGGAGAATTCAATGGTGGTGGCAATGTGAGACCATGTTAGTGGCCTAGAGTGACAATATGAAAGGAGAATCACAACAAAGATGAATAAGGATGGAGATACCTTTGTCAATTTTAACAGATGACAAGGATCAAATCAAAATGTCATTGTGCTTTGAGTTGTACTAAATGGAATAACAAGGTTTTCAAAATTATGCATAACACAGAAGATTCAGAAGGAAAAGGTGGTGATAATCATGAGGCAGAGGGAATTGTACTAGCAAAAAGATGTTTCTGCCCAGCAATGAATGTTTTAGTTCCAGACTCATTAAAATGTGCTGTGTTGGATAGTGGGTGCATGTCCACAGTGTGTGATGTAGATTGGTTGAAATGTTACCTATATTCTATACACAATAAGGACTGAAATGGGGTTAATGAATTTGAGAGGTCTATCTGCTTCAGGTTTGGGGATTACAATATGCTGAAATCATTAAAAACAATGGTGATTTCCTGCAAAATAATTGGAATAGAATATTTTATCAGCACTAATGTAATGACAAGTGAAATATCTTTACTGTTGGACAACAATCTATATATATAAAAGGCTCAAATAAAACCAAACATGAAACACAAAGCAACTGTTTTTGGAAAATTAACGGAATGACAATTTATAAAGTCTGGACTTTACTGTTTTCTTCTAACAGAACCTAATTTCTCTAATCAAAATATTAAGCAGGTGCTAATGGCATCAGAAGATAGCAGCTTCAAATGAAAAAAGTAATTCTTTTTAGACTTCCTTCAGCAGTTTGCCTATGCATCGCCTACAGATTAAAAATCACACTGAAGGATGCAGGAAAAAGTGATGATAAGTACACTGAACTTATGGAAAAGATCAGTGATAAATGCAACAGGTGGAAAAAACAATATAGGTAGATATCATCATGGATAAAAAGAAGTCTCCCATTAATGAAGTTGTGGAAAAGGACTTTAAGGTATAGATATAAAAGAATAAAAGATTTTCATCATGCAGTTTGCAGATGGAAGCTAGATTTAATCTTAGTATTTAGTAAAGAGACAAAAGTCAGACGTACAAGGCAATGCTAACATGGATACGGATTAGAGTGGAGGCACTGGCCAATTTCCTAACTGACAATTGGGGCTGGTGGATGAATATGCCAAAGATTAGAGACGTGTGAAAATATGAATATTGTGGTAATGAACACAGCAGCAGAGTCCCCTTTATACTGGATTGTGTGAAAGAAATCACATGGTAATTGATGGAATACTTCATAAAATCCTAACGGAACAACAAAGTTGCAGATTAACATCTATCCTGGTATGGACAGACTATGCAAACAAATCACTGCAAAATATTTGGAGGCCATAATCCACATCAGCTGCTTTTTGGAAGCTAATGAGTGATCATCCCCCAACCTGGAAAGGGACTGCAGTTAACTCCACTTTTTCTGAACATCTGAATGCCCTTCTTGCAAAGAGAAGGCCATTCATTAAGGCTAAGGTATCACCAAAAGTTTGGTGATCCTTACAACATCATATAAGGCCATCAGAAATAAAATTTAATCCATGGAACATGGTACATTACAAAAGGGAAGGTCAAAAGAGAATGGGATGGTTCAGGTAAGGTTATGGGTAGTGATGGAAAAGCAGTAATTTTATAATATGGCAACGAAACTGTTGGGTGTATTCCTTAATGGCAGTGATTACACACCTACAGAATCTGATCAAGTTATAGGAAGTGCTCAGGCGTCTTACGCAGATGTTGGATGTTTGAGGGCCAAATTATGACAGATGAAAGTATAACCAAATAGGGACATAGTGATACAGTGATGTAAGATGAGGCCATTGCCCTAGAAGACAAGAAGCAAAGTAATATATATGCTAGAAGCAGGGCCAGAGGGGACAGTGAAGAGAGAAATGCCATCATCACAGCGGAGCAAGGAAACTTACTGGCAAGTACAAATATTGACTACATGCGCAACATAAGGGACAAGAGGTAAGATCCATGCATTGGCCAAATGAAGCAAAGATGTGAAGGCCAGAAAATACACTGCAACTTCTGAACACAGGCATGGAAGAGAATATGGCACTGGGAAAAGATTGTGAACTTGGGAAAAAAGTTCTGATCATTGGAACGGAGACCTCGTAGTTGTGTTCTAGAATAAGAATATTAGTAGAGAATGTAGTTTGACAAAAACAAATATATGGAACAGGCCGGGAATATCATGGAAAAACCTCTTATGATCAAGAAGACATTGTGACTACAAATAAGTTAGAAGATAACTTTATAAAAGCTGCCACACAAAACTAGTTGGAGACCTGTAAAGAATTTGGTGTACACAACAGATAGAGGACAACCGTCCTTGCCTCTCAATTGAAATGCACAGTAAAATGTTCTCCCAGAACATGAAAGGTCAGAGTCAGACTAGTCATAGAGTCATACAGCACGGAAACAGACCCTTTGATCCAACCTCTCCATGCTGAATACAATCCCAAACTAAGCTAGTCCCACCTGCCTGTTCCTGGCCCATATTCCTCCAAACCTTTTCTATTCAGGTATCTATCCAATTGTTGTTTAAATGTTGTAATTGTACCCGTATCCACCGCTTCCTCAGGAAGTTCATTCCATACACAAACCACACTCTGTAAAAAAATTGCCCCTCATGTCTTTTTTAAATCTCTCTCCTCTCACCTTAAAAATGTGCCCCCCACTCTTGAAATTCCCCATCCTAAGGGAAAGACAACTACCATTAACTCTATCTATATCTCTCATTATATTATAAACTTGTATCACTTCGCCTCAGTGATCAAGATGTTGTTTTGAATACCCAACTTCTAAAAAAGTGGTTTTGAAGATCTCCCAACTCTTTTGGCAACTGCTCCTGGGAATGTAAGTCAATCAATGTAAAATGTACATTTTGCCCGGAAAAAGGCTTCAAGGGGAAGTCCAAAGTAGCAGGTGGTGTCAAGGAGAAGCTATGGAAATCAAACAAAAGTGTATTTGGGTTGAATGATGCAATGAGAGTGTGGAATTTCAAAATTAGGTCTGGCTTGCTCAAAATAGGTTATAGTCAGCATAAACGACTCTGGTAATATCCAAATTGTATCACAAAGAGAAACTGGCAGGCATTTTTATGATGCAAATCAATGATTGTCTTTGGCAGGTTATGCAAAATTTGTTACGTATGGAAAATTAATAAAAAGTTCAAGATTGGTAGTCAAGCTTCACAGTCCTTTTGTTAGGATTAGCCACTAAGCAGAAGAAATCAGGAGTGACAGAACAAGGCAAACGCATCCCAACAAATAAGGACAGATCCTCATAGAAAGGCCAGCTTGCATCTAAGGTAGCAACAGACCAGTTAAGGGATTTGATTGGTAAGTTGAACTGATTGTACACTCAGACTAGACCCAATGCTGGTCATAAAGATAAAGGTGAAGCTGCTGTCTCATTAGAGAGAATCAACTGGTGGTGAGTTTAACCTGAGGGTCACTATGCTTCAGGCAAGGTGCAAGGTCAATAAAAGGGGACTTATGGTGACCTCAGCAAGTATCTGAAACAAACCCACACTGTTGGCATCATTCTGCATCGCAAACCTGTTATCCAACCAAATAAGCTAACTGATCCTGCTAGTTGTAACATATCAGAACTGCATACCACATTAAAACATGCTGCAGTTGAAAAGTTCTGAGATCAAATAAAACACAAAAGAAATTAAATTCAGAGAAATGTACACTTAAGTTTTCACCCTGGCAGCATCTAGACGACATGGTTAGCCATTTTTGCTTATGTTTCACAAGCCGGGCTTCCAGATGGAACATCTATTCTGGGGCAGGATTTAGCATATTCTTGGTGAAATAGAATAATAAATCTTGTCCATTGGCTTGGGAAACCAAAAAAAACATAGTTAAAAGCACCTTGACTACAGAAACACTGGCACTAATAGAAGTTTCAAAAATTGTGGTGTACTTGTCTAATATTTTAGAGGAATTCTTACATTCCGGGTAATCTGAGTAAACAATTGCCCATGGAACACTACATAGCTTTGGGACAATATTTATTTGACAAAGGGTGTCATAGAGAAAAGGGTTTCATTTTGCTAATATTAACAAAATCTTAGAAAGAAATGAGATTTCCAAAATAAAATGGGTTGGCTCAAGCAAGACAATTTCACAAAGAGAAATGTTTGCCCCAAGAAATTATAATAAGTCCCAAAGAGGGATGTATTGTGTTATAATGAAAACACTCATTTCTAGAGAGCACAAAATAACATGTTGTAAGAATACTTATAACATTTTTTCTTTAATTGCTTTGTAATTATTTTCCACTTGTGGGAACATTCTTTTTTAGGAATGGGGAATATGGGATCTGTGTATGATTGGTTGTGGTATAATGCGTGATATTGAAGAAGGAAATGTTTTATTTCTTTCATAATTCTGGAAGAATATCTAGATCTTAAATTTAAAGGAAAAGAAATGAATCTGTTAATATCTGGTTAAACATGTTTTTATGTTTTTTTTAAGGTTAAGAAGGAACAGGTGATGGTTCTTAATGGTCTGAGCACATACGGGAGCACCTGTAATACTGGAGTGAAAGAAGCTTTAAGATTGAATAGTCAATAAACTGTATCTGCAAAGGAAGGTGTCCTGATTTTCTATTTCACTGACTGGCTTGGATCCAGATTGACAAAGTCCTCTTTCAGGTGAGCTGGTGCCCCAGAGAAAAATTATTCAGTTGCTGACATTTTAAAAATAATTGTCATCTGAATAACATTGGCAAAAGTGCACTTATTCCACATCCCTTGTTGCCCTGACATGGTAGGTAGTCTTCTTTTGAACTGCTGTAGTCCTGAGGATGTACACCCAGAATAGGATTAAGGAGGGAATTCTAAGATACTGACATATTGATAATAATAAAGGTAACATAATATGTGGTTTATGGGGAAGATTGAACTTTTGCTGAAGAAGACATGGTGATTTGCTGAACCTCCTCTAAATAGGAGTAACACAATCAGAGCATGTTAGTGGTGGATTTTAGACTAGTGGATGAGGTACTAATTAAGGATTTTTAGTTGGAGCTGCATTCAGAGGCAAATATAGAATATGCTACCATAAAACACATAATGATAGAGTGCTTAGATTATTCGATTAGACCTCAAGAATCGGGAATAATCACGTATAGATTGTGAGATTGAAATAACCGTGGCATTTTAAGAATCAAAATTCAGTTTTTAAAGTCAGGAAATGGTAAGTTAATAACAATGGCATAAACCACAAAGCTAGCAGTCACAAAAAAAAAGCATACGAAGTGGCTGTGCTTACAGATCTACCTTATGACACTCCAGTTCCATAATAATCATTTAAAAGATAAACAATTATAACTCTTCCTAATTGCAATACTCTACCATACACTTTGGTACGCCACTGTGACTTAAGCCCCACTACTGTCAGGAACCACACTGTTCATGAGCAATAACACAGTAAATCAGATGGAAACAAATAAAGTTAAAGTCACAAAAGCAAAAAAGAATATGGAAAGTAGAGAAATAGGAAAAAATTAGAGAAGTGAAATTTTAAAACTTACTTAATTGTGGTGATACAAGATTGCTATTAAAGTATTAAAACTTTGACTGACATCCCAATGAAATGATTAATCAAATAATTTAATATTCAGAAATCCTTGAGAGGTGGTATTTGATCAAAAAGTATGGGTATCTGACAGGGAAAAGTTCACAAAACCTTCTGGATCTATTGACAGTCTAATGGTCAATGTCTTTCATTGTACTTGTTCCATTTCCGGCATGCTAACATGATTTTATTGCCCACTTTCCCTATTTGAAATGGTAATCATTTGGGGAGGTGATGGTCTAATGGTATTTATTACTCGACTAGTAATTCTGGAGACTCAGGTAATGTTCTGGGGACCTCGGTTTCAATCCTGCCACAGCAGATAGTGGAATTTGAATTTAATAAAAAAATCTGGAATTAAAAGTCTAATGATGGCCATGAAACAATTTTCGATTGTCAGGAAACATCCATCTGGTTCGCCAATGTCCTTTAGGGAAGGAAACTGCCATGCTTACCTGGTCTGGCCTGCATGTGACTCCAGACCCACAGCAATGTGGTTGACTCTCACCTGCCCTCTGGGCAATAAAGGATGAGCAATAAAGGATGGGCAATGAATGCAGGCCTGGCCAGTGACACCCACATCCTGTAAATGAATCAAAAAAACCTAATATTCCATTTTTCTTGTTTTATTTCCACTTCTCTTGCAATGGTCCTTGTCAGAATTCCAAAAAATGTTCTTCCAAAAATCTGATGTTACAATACTTAGTAATGTTATAATTAGCTCATGATAATTGCATTATCAAATCATATTGTTCACCAGACTTCATATGTTCATCCAGTTTTACACTTGTGGTAAGATGGCAGTGGTACAGTGCTTCTGAGCCCAGGGCTCGAGCATGCTGTCTGCTTTTCTTTTCTTTTTTCTTTTTTTTCTTTTATTTTACTTGCCCCTTGTTGAAGAACTCAGTTGTGGCGAGAGCATTGGCAGCAGTGAGTGAGCTCAGCACGGACTCGTTACAATAGCACTTATCATGGCAAGTTTGGTTTCCTGGCGACTTCTGCATCGAGGCACTCCTAGTGCTTACTCATGGCTGCTGCAGCGCAGGTGAGTCTGGGCTCTCAACCATGTCTATGTCCAGTGCAGATCCATGGAAATGGTGGCAGAGGTGGGTTTGGGCCCAGTACTAGACCCAGCAGCATTGGCAGTGACTGCATCGGCAAGGTAGGCCTGAAGCGGATTCATGGCGGTGGCGGAGTTGAGTTTGGGCCAGTGTGGTACCTGGCAGCGTCTGGGGGCGAGGGCGATGGTGCTGAAGTGTGGCAACTTTCATTGAAGCATTGGCCTTGCAGGGAAGGAGACTCGTGCCTAGTCACCAGGCCCATGGCCCATGGCAGAGCACTTAACAAGAAAGACTGTAAAGTTAAAAACTTTTTTTTTAAACTTTACATTCTCTGTTTTTGTTTATTTTTCTGTGTTAAGATGGTGCCAGACAGTGGCGACACTACACAACACTTTTCACTGTATTTTGTAACAAAATACATGCGGCAAAAAATAAATCAAACCAAATAAATCATCCTCCTTCAGTCACTTGTCACTTTTCACCATTCACATTCTTTCTGTTCATGAACTATTTCTTTCTGTTCCATAAATTTCAACTTTCATCAGCAATACTCCATTAATTTTGACAGATGATTATTTCTGCATAAATATTAGCATGTAGTTTAAAAACATACAGTTTCACAACTGATCTTCCCACGTACACACTTTTCAACAGTGTCACTCGCATAGCAATTAGCAGAGGGATGCTTAGCTATTTATTTTCTTATCAGTCTGGAAGTATTGAAAGTCATTTCATACAATCCAACCCACTTGTAGAATCATCAGTAGTGCAACACAGGCAGAGAAAAAGCCTTTTAAGTCTTTTTTAAAGGCAATCCAGTTAATTGCACTCATGCAATCTGAGCCACATTGCTGCAGTTCTTTCTCCTCAAAGTAATTATTCAATTGCCTTTCAAATGCTATTATTGGATCTGTATCTGCTGCTAATCAGGCAATGCATTCCAAATCCTAAACCTATGCTGCATAGATGATTTTTCACGTTACTTTTGGATATTACACCAATCACATTTAATTTCTACCCACCAATTATTAAACTTTGGCTGTTAGAAAAATGTTCTCTTTATTTAATCTTTCTAAAATGGTTGTGATTTTAAAAATCTTTGTCAAATTTCCCATTAGGCTTCTCTGCCCTAAGGCAGTGATTCTCAAACTTTCTATTTTTCGATCACTTGGATGGGGTAAAAGTCCTACAGATAACAGACTAATCCTACCCCACCTGTTTTGCCTATTACTGCATGAAAAAATTTGCAGACTACAAATATTTTTCTTTTGCTATTGCATGTTAAAAATATGTGCATTTGTTAAATATAATTGCTCAGGTTAGAAACAAAAGTAATGCTCATAATATAAACATTTCTACTACAAAACAGTACACAAAAGTAGAAAGTAGTGCAAAGAAACTAATAAAGTTTTCTGACCATGAAAGAAACCTACAAAAGTTTTGATATCAAATGACAGCTTCTAGAGTTAGAGTAACAACACATGCAAGAAATATACATACATTCATACATTAGATCAATACAGTGCTGTAATCTTAGTAAAAACAAATTAAATAAAAAAACGTGAAGTTGATTGGCTTATGAATGAAGAAAACCAGAGAACAAATTAATACTTGCAAATCAAAGACAGGTAACCAGCATTAATCTGGAAGAATTAATAAATAGATAATTAATAAAGTACCAGCCCTGAAAGGAATCAAAAACAAAAACAGAGTAGTGGGACAGATGAGATGCCAGAACTATGGAAAATAAAAACTGAAAGAACTGTGGATGCTGTAAATCAGGAACAAAGGTCACCGGACCCGAAATGATAAGTCTGATTTTTTTCTTCACAGATGCTGCCAGACCTGCTGAACTTCCAGCAACTTCTGTTGTTGTACCAGGACCGTGGACCTGCTTAAATAATGTAGGGTATGTGTCCAGAGCAAGCTATTCAATTGTGTAATGGGGGGAAATCCCAGTGTATGAAAACAAAACTTTTTGCTACTAATATTCAAGATTGTTTGAGTTTTTTTGTATTGTTGTCATATGTACCAAGACACAGCAAAAAGTGTTGTTTTCCAAGCTATACAGGCAGATTGTACCGTACAAAGTGCATCAGGGTAGTAGGACAGAGCGCAGAATACAGTGTTACAGCTGCAGAGAAGGTGCAGAGTGAGAGAGAGAGATCAGTATTAATATTTGAAAGGTCCATTCAAAAGTCTGAAAGCCGGGGTGGAAGAAGCTGTTCTTGAATCTGTTCATTCATGTATTCAAACTTTTATATCTTCTGCCTGACAGAAGAGGGTGGAAGAGAGTATAACTGAGATGGGAGGGGTCTTTGATTATGTTGGTTGCTTTCCCAACGCAGTGAGAGTCAATAGATGGAAGGCTGGTTTGCGTGATGGACTGGGCTGTGTTAATGAGTCTCTGTAGTTTCTTGAGGTCTTGGAAAGAGCAGTTGCCAAACCATGCAATGATGCATCCAGATAGGATGCTTTCTATGGTGTATCTACATACCATCCAGATACAGGAAACAGTCATAGACAAGAGACTGAGAGAAATAGTGGAAATCTATAAAAGTCATTCAGATTCATAGCAAGAAGAATCACCACTGATACTATTTATGTTTTGAGACAAGTAATTAAGATTATCAGGAAGTAATTATCAGGAAGGCAAATGTACCATAAAGCCTATTGATTGATCTAGAAACAGTTTTTACTAGGTGCCAAGAGAGGAAATCCGGAGATGTGCCAAAATTCATGGACATCCTGAGAAGTATCTATTACTATTATAGGACATATATAGAGTCAGACAAGTATAAGATGTGTTGGGGAAACTGAGTTTACAAGTTCTAAACCAAATTGTATTGCACTAAGTAATAACACTGAGCTCCTTTCCCTTTTCCTGATTGTCATTGATGTACTAACTAAGCAAGTAAAACAGGAGAACCATGATAAAAGCTGTTTGCAGATGACGCTGAGCGAAGTGGTGAATATGACGCAAATGGGATTAAGTATCTGGACAACTAGGAATAAGCAGTAGAAGATCAGGGTATGAAAATCAGTAGACTAAAGATACAACAAAGGCAGTGACAATTTCACCTAGGGGAGGTGATGGCCTAGTTATTATGGCCTGACTATTAATACAGAAACTCAGTTAATGTTCTGGGCACCTGGTTTCAAATGATGCCATGGCAGAGATGGAATTTGAATTCAATAGAAAAAAGAACTGGAATTAACTATCTACTAATTACCATGAAACCATTATCAATTGTCAGAAAAACCCATCTAACTCACTAATGCCTTCAGGGAAGGAAACCTGCAATCCTTGCCTGACATGTTCAACACGGTGGCATGGTGGCTCAGTGGTTAGCACTGCTGCCTCACAATGCCAGAGACCTGGGTTCAACTCCACCCTTAGGCGACTATCTGTGTGGAGTTTGCACATTCTCCCTGTGCCTGCGTGGGTTTCCTCCAGGTGCTTTGGTTTTCTCCCACAGTCTAATGATGCGAAAGTGCTGAGGATGGCAAGGGCGCAAAATGTACTCTAGGAATTTCAGTGTCACTACTAAGAGCTCTTCCAGTATGGTTACAACACTTGTATTGATCTGACAATGTGGTGAATTGCCCAAATATGTCCTGTACACAAAAATCAGGACAAATCCAACCTGGACAATTACCACCCTATCATTCTACTCCCCATCATTAGTAAATTCATGGAAGGTGTCATCAATACTGCTTTCAAGCACGTGCTCAGCTATAACCTGCTAAGTGATGCCCAGTTTGGGTTCCGCATGTGCCACTCAGCTCCTGACCTCATTGCAGCCTTATTTCAAAAATAGACAAAACTGTTGAATTGCAGAGTTGAATGAGAGTGACATCTTGACATCAAGGCCATATTTGACTGAGTGTGGCATCAAGGAGCCCCAGCAAAACTGGAGTCAATGGGTATTAGGGGCAAATTCTCCACTGGTTGGAATCAAACCTGGGCCATAGGAACATGTTGAAGCTCAGTTATCTCAGCTCTATTACATCTCCACAGGAGTTCCTCAGGGAAATGGCCTATGTCCAACCATCTTCAGCTGCTTCATCAATGATCTTCCCTCCATCAAATGGTCTGAAGTAGGGATGTTCACGGATGACTGCACAATGTTCAGCACTATTCGCGACTCCTCAGATACTGAAACAGTCCAACAATGCAACAAGATCTGAACAGTATCCAGGCTTGGGCTGACAAATGGCAAGTAATATTTGTGCCACATGAATGCCAGGCAATGCCCATCTTCAATAACAGACAATCTCACCACCATACCTTGACATTCAATGGCATTAATATCCGTGAATCCTCCTCTATCAACATAATTAGGGTTACCTTCGACCAGAAACTCAACTGGACTCCCCACATTAACACTGTGCCTACAACAGCAGGTCAGAGGCTAGGCATACTGTGGCAAGTAATTCACCTGCTGACTTCCCAAATCATGTCCATCATCAAGAAGGCACAAGTCAGGAGTGTGATGGAATACTCCCAACTTGTCTGGATGAATGCAGCTCAAACAATACTCAAGAAGCTTGACACCAGCCAGGACAAATCAGCCCGTTTGACTGGCATCACATCCACAAGCACCAATCCCTCCACCACCAATGCTCAGTAGCAGCAATGTGTACTATCTAACAAGCTGCACTGCAGAAATTCACCAAAGATCCTTAGGCAGAATCTTCCAAACCAACAACGACTTCCATCTAAAAGGACAAGGGTAACAGATATATGAGAACACCACCACCTGCAAGTTCCCTTTCAAACCACTCACCATCCTGAGTTGGAAGTATATTGCCATTCCTTCACTCTCACTGTGCTAAAATCTTGGAATTTCCTTCTTCAGGGCATTTTGGGTAAACCTACAGCACGTGGACTGCAGCGGTTCAAGAACAAAGTTCACCACCGCCTCCTCACGGGCAACTAGGGGCAGGTGATAAATTCTGGCCAGCCAGTGCTGCTCATGTCATCCAAGTGGAAAAGGATTGCAGGAAAAGTGTAAAGATTGTAGGTGAAGATCTGAAGAAAATGACTAGCTTAACACACCTGGAGACAATGGTGGCAAATTGAAATTTAGCAACAGATCAGCTGAAGTTGGAGTAGTTGGAAATGTGTGCAATGGATTTTGGTATGTTAGATACGCTTGGCTAAAACTGAAAGGATGAATGTACAGATAGCTGACGCCACCTTTGTTGCATAATTTGGGAACTTAATCAACATTAAAATGATATATTGATCATCGTATAGATTCTGAAATGGGATGTGCGGAGGGTGCACAAGGCCAAGATCAGATTGAATGAAAGAGGAGGTTTTTTTTTTAATGGTTTTAGTTGGGTTGAAAGTGGATAAATCTCAATGCCCAGATGAGATGTATCCAAACCTACCTTGTGAGGCAAGGGAGGACATTGCACAGACTCTGACTTTAATTTTCAAATTCTCTCTGGCAACAGGCGGGGTGTCAATGGGCTGGAGGACAGTTAATTTGGGACAATTATTCAAAAAGAGTGGCAGTAATAAAGCAGAAAACTACCTGAAAAAATTCTGGTGGACAGAATTCATCTTCACTTGGAGGATTAATCAAGGCTAATCGGCATAGCTTTGTAAGGATGACATCCTATCTAACAAATATGACTGAATTTTTCAAGGAGGTGATGAGGTGTGTAGATAAGGGTAGTGTAGTTGAAGTTGTCAACACGACTTCAATGGAGCATTGACAAGGTTTGGCATAACAGACTGGTTAAGAAGCTAAGAGCCCATAGAATCCAGAATAATTTAGCAAATTGGATCCAAAACTGGTTCAGTGGCAAGAAGGAGAAGCAGATGGTCAAAGGTGTTTTTGTGACTGGAAGACTGTGTCCAGTGTGTACTATAGGGGTTTGTGCTGGGTCCCTTAATATTTGTTACATACATTAATGATCAAGACATGAATGTAGGGGGTATGATCAGCAAATTCACAGATGACATAAAAATTGGTGATGTGTAAAACAGCTAGAAGAAAAGCATTAGCCTACAGGGGAAAATAGATGGGCTGGTCAGATGGGCTGAACTGGATGCACTGCAGAAGTTCACAAAAAATCCTTAGACAGAATCTTCCAAACCCACAACCACTTTCATCTAGAAGGACAAGGGTAACAGATACATGGGAACACCACCTGCAAGTTCCCCTCCAAACCACTCACCATCCTGACTTGGAAATATATTGGCATTCCTTCACTGTCATTGGGTCAAAATCATGGAATTCCCTCCCTCAGGGCAGTTTGGGCCAACCTACAGCATGTGGACTGCAGCGGTTCATAAAGCAAGTTCACCACCACTTTCTCAAGGGCAACTAGGGAATGAGCAAATGGAATTTAATCTTGAAAAGGGAAGTGATGCCTTTTGGAGGACTAAAAGCAAGGGAGTACATGGTGAATGGTAGGACCGTAGGAAGTATAGAATGTCCATAG